CTCCACCCTGAGTCAACTGCTGCCTGGCCGGATTAAGGTGTCAGGTTGATTTGTTTTATACATCTTTTGACCATGCTCATTGAATATTTAGGAAGTTTCTCCAGCCCACACTGAGGCTGAGATGTCCCGTGGGAAGCATTAATCAAAGTCACAGAGACTCGTACACTCTGGAAACACAGCCTCTTTATTGAAGCGATTAGTTTTTGCAGTAACACATTAACACACTACAGAGCTTGCCTTTATAGAACAATTGATCCTTTGCTCATAAGCGCTACACAGAATGCTCAGAATTGACTCTTTTAAAGTTGAATACTTTTCCTCCTTCTCCGTGAAGATTTGGAGAACGGCCTGCTTGCATTTTGCTCTTGACCAGGAATGAAAAACAGAACACATTTTCCTTCAGTGGAGGGGAAAGCCCTGCTCTCAGAGCTGTGGGCACTGCTCATTTCGCCCAGCTCCTGTTTAGAGTCTGTTGTTTGGGCCCGTTTTCTCTCTCTGGTATTTCCACCCTCCAACAATACGCTTTAAATCTCCCTTTATGTCCCATTCGTACATAATAGCAAGTGCACTTACTTTTTTGTCCCCTCCATTAGGTCATTCATGACCATTCTAGAAAAAAAAATACCCTTCTATTTTTCCCCCTACAGTACTCTTGTCCATATGAGACAATGTCTCGTAACAATACAGAGGCCTAATCTCCATGTCAAAGCAATTTTCATTCCCCAGTGCACAGCCTGCTATCATTTTGTAATGTTTTGTTTCTTGTTCTAAAAGAATTAAAAAGGAACAGTTAGCCGTCACGGGGGCCTGTAGGCCTTATCTCAGTGTCTGGAAATTTGGACAGTGTATTTTACTGCTGAGATAAATGGAAAGAAGTCCGACTTCAGCAAATCGTAATGGGTTTAAGTTCTATTGAAATCGGCCACCAGAAGATCAGATAACGGGGGTCCTTCAGTTGTCTTTCTAATCGGGTTCCCCGCGAGGCTGAATGGAGACAGAGCAGACGCACAGAGTGAAAATATAATTCTTGGGCAGGTTAAGTACATGTTTGAACTCTTGCAAGCAGAAGCAGTTTGCTGATGACTTAATCATTTTCTGGTCAATTATCTGTAAGGGCCCTTGCAACTCTACAGCAATTAGGATGCAAGATGGCCTTTTGGGAGGAACACCAGCCTCCTGTGCCTGTTTCCTTGTGACTTCCATTCTCTACCATAAATTTTCATTCACTTATTATCTTTGCTAGCAGAGAAACAACTTTCCGCAGTAATTACAGCCCCATACACACTTTAGCTGTCATCTTGTTGCAGCCTGGATAGTCTCAGGGCCAGGGTTTGATAAATGCTCCTTGTGGACTTTTGAAGGATTCATACCCTTTGCTGGGGGGCCCAGGGAAAGGAATGGCCCTGATGACAAAAGGCAAGGGTGTCTGTCAGCCTGCCCGAGAGCAAGAGATGGATTTATTGGTTTTGACTTAGCAAGTTAGGACACACCTGTCCTTGCCGTGAGGAAAGCAGTCAGTAAGGATGGGACCATTTGCCAGCATTCAGAAAGACATCTCCATTTCAAAGGTCACTGGGAAACCTGGGTAAACAGACTTTTAAAGCCCAATCACGCTATCTTAACTTGGCATGGAAAAAAAAAAGTAATAAAGCTCCTATCTCTGCCATCTGTGACCTGCGTCTTAACCATGCCTCACAAACGGCACAGCCATCAAGGGAAGGCCTGGGCCTTCCAGGGCTGGTCGCAGGAAGCACAGGAACGGGTACCAGGCTCTCCCCAGACCACAATGGAAGTAAAGACTGTGGGCAACCTCCTCCTCCGAGCGATGGGCATGGGATCACCCAGCACTGAAATCTGTGTAAACCCAGTCCTGCCACTTTACTGAGAAGCAGGTTCCCTCGTTGGAGTGGATTACCACGCAGTGGCAGAACCCTCATTTTAAATTTATACACGGTGCGCTCCTGGGGAGAATATGGATGCCTGTGCTCTACTGACGACAGAAGAGAGGATTTTTTTAAGATAATTTAGAACATGGGTTCTCCCCCCAAAGTGCAGAGGATGTGGTTTCTGTCACTGGATTGCTCCCTAGTTGTCTGTGGGACTCTTCTTTCCCCTTGCCGCCATGTTGGTGGTCCATAGTACCTCCCTTTCCAGGTAGAGCAGAGAGTGGAGTTGTATCAGTGCTTAGGAAAAGTCAGCTAGCGACAGGGACGGCGCGCTCACCCTTCTCAACGTTTCAACCCAACAGTTCAACAGGTGCATCACGTCCCAGCTCATCAAGTGGTTCAGCAACTTCCGAGAGTTCTACTACATTCAGATGGAGAAGTACGCACGGCAAGCCATCAACGATGGGGTCACCAGCACGGAAGAGCTGTCCATCACCAGAGACTGTGAGCTCTACCGGGCCCTCAACATGCACTACAACAAAGCGAATGATTTTGAGGTAGGAGACGGTCTCCACGCGTTGGCCACCTCCTTTTGCATTTATTTGTTTCTGTGCTCTTTGGGAAAGACTCTGAATCTGCTTTTGTAATGGTTTCTTACTTAAGCACATCTCAACAGTGTCAGGCAAAGCAGTAACCAGGAACTTCCCCTCACAACCATCGTGGCTCGCCCAGGGCCATTTCCATTCCTGTCCTCCATCTCAGCTTATATGGAGGACTCAGGTGGCCACAGGAAAGAGAGCTGAAAGGTCTGAAGTGAAGGGCAAATATAGGGTGATTTCACTCATGTTCTGGAGGTGCAGCTGAGCTAATGTATACACTGCATGCCGTGGTAACTGCAGAGGTGCTTCTTAAGAAGTCTAGAGATGGTGAGTGAGTGGTCTGTGATTTCCACCTTCACTTCAAAGTCATTTCCTTTATGGAAGGAAGTGGCATAAGAATTTACTAAGCATATTTCAAAAGAGATCCATTCACATCTTTTTTATTTTTTATTTTTTTTGCTCAACAAATTTTAGTTGTGTTTTTATTTATTTGTCCAGTGTGTACACACAAATGTGCGACCTTGCGTGGGGGGTGTGCTTGAGCCGTAAAGTGGACATCAAGTTCAGAGAACAATTTGTGGGAGTCGGTTCTCCCCTTCCAATCACATGAAGCCCAGGGATCGAAGCAGGGTCTTCAGGCATGGTGGCAAGAGCTTTGAGTCCATGAGCCATCTTGCCACCTTGCTTTGGTTTACGATCCTGACGTGTGCAAAGCAATACAGACCATTCCCAGGAAGCCATATCCATGCAACAACGAGTCAGGCATTTCTTTATAGGCAAACAGTTTTCATCGACATGTGATCATGGCGCGAGACACAGAACAAGGCTCCCAGTGCTTACAAAGGCATTTGCTGAGCCCTGCGGGCCTGGGCAACAATAGCTGGAGTTTGGGGTGTGGTGAGAGTTCTGCGGTCGGAACCCCAGGGAAGGGTAGGCCAGATGGCACTTGACTAAGTTGATCCATTCCTTGACTCTTCTTGGCTAGACGTTGCTTCTCCATGAGGGCAGGAATTCAAGGGACCTCATGCTAGCTACTATTCTTGCTTTCTTCCTGTTGATACGTACCCAGGGATGCCCCAAAGCATCTTCATGTCAAGGAAAGGAGGAACCCCTATGGTCTGGCTCTGTCTGTAAAAAGACCTGACCCACTCATATTCTGACTGCTTGTTCACTCCTTTCCATCTCCACTCCCCACTGCTTTGGGCAGTGCGCAAGCTTCACAAGAGGGAAGTCAAAGTTTTTCCTTGAAAGTTTGAATGGTTATCCTGCAAGCTATCGATTGTATCTTTATTGTCCAAGACCAGTGTGTTTCTTGCACATGTTGGAAACAAAATTCCTCTTCTACTGAATGCATTAAAAATAGGGGAGTTCAGAGCCACTACTTTTGTATTCCTTTATCATATGAGAGAGAGACACAGAGAGAGAGAGAGATGGAGAGTGCAGGAAGGTCAGAGGGCAACTTGTGGGAGCCATTTTTCTTCTTTCATCATGTGACTCCCAGAGATTGAACTCAGATCATCAAGCTTGGCAGCAAGTTCTATTACTACTGAGACATCCGACCTCCCCCCTCTTAAAGCCTATCTTTTCAGAGTCTCTGTTGTCACGGTACTGGTTGATTGTGTGGGCAGAATACAAGCAAGCTTTACCTTCCAAAGCTGGAGTCATGACACTGGCTAGACTTTTTAAGAAATCTTGTGCAAGAACTTGGCTTCTTGTTCCTTCTTTTCCAAGCCTCTACACCAGGAGCAACACATTCTTACTGGGCAGATGCCTCAGCCTTAATAAAAAAAGAAAAAGAAAAAAAAAAAAAGCTACCCACTGTTCATGAGTCAATTTCTTATCATATGCCAGAGGGGACAGGGCCTTCAGATGCACATTGGGATTTCCGGGGCACTTAAACCTACCTGCTGGAATTTAATCCCCTATTCCCAGCACAAGGAGCAAAATGACACAAGCAGGGGACACTGGCATGGAGAGGCACCCAGCAAGCTGCTGCATTTAGCATCATCCAAAGCCTCCTCCGTGTGATTACCATCTGATAGCTCTTTCTCTGTGAATCACATCCACTTCCAGCCAGGCCACCTCTCCTTTATCTGCACAGGCTATTTTAAGAATGCTCGCTACAAGGAGAATGGGGCCTAGGCAGGAATCCTGTCATGTCTCCTGTGACTTTGGCCAAGTTGTTTGACTATTCTGAGGCCAATTTCTCCTTCAAACCAAAAACCAAACCCAACTAACCAACCAGCTAAACAACAAACAAACAAAACATGGGCTCTTACCAGAAATGTGTAGAGCAAGGCTCAGCAGCATAGTCTCCGCCCTGACTATTCTACACACAAACTCACCCGTGTGTGTGTGTGTGTGTGTGTGTGTGTGTGTGTGTGTGTGTGTGTAAACACACACTCATACACACTCATACGTATGCGCACTCACACACACAGGCACTCACACACATGCACAACACTCTCACACAAACACAACACAGGAACACACACATGAATGCATTGGCACACACATATTCACACAATGCTAAATAGTTTTTAACGAGGCCTCTCAGTTTGGCACATTAACTTACAAACCTTCAGATAAGGGATTCCTCCTTTCTGTGCCTTTGAGCGTAGAGGTCACTGCTTAAGTGAGATGCTTAAAAAGCCAGCATTCTTATCTCTGTAGCTTTGCCAGTGTGGGCTGTGGCTGCAAGCCAAAAGTAGCCCCGGCACCTTTTGCCGAATGCCTGGGCTGATAGTGCTCACAGCTTCACTCTTGCATTGGAGTTTCTCTAATCAACTAAAATAGCCTAGTGGTTTCTGCCTTGGCTGGTGGGGAGAATGGAAAAGTGAAGAGTCTTGTCTCTTTCCGAATTTTTAAACAGAGGTGAAGCTTAGCAGAGAGATGTTTGTCTTGCTCAAAGATCCAGTCAGTACAAAGGAGGGGACTGTCCCTCGGTTAGCCGCTGACACCATCCAACATCTAATGGGTTAAATTTCCTCCTAAAGCTGGGGACATGGAGACGCTTCAGTTGGTGAAATGTTTTCCAGACAGGCATAAGGACCTGAGTGTCAATCCGCAGCACCCGTGTAAAAGCTGGGAGGAAGGGAGACAGGCAAATTTTTGGAGCCCAGTGGCCATGTGCTCCAGGCTCAGTGAGAGGCCTTGTCTTAAGAATAAAGTGGAGAGCGATAAAGCAAGACATCAGATACCAATCTCTGACCTCCATGTGCACATGTGGGGGGGGCACAGGCAGGCTGCTCACAGGTTGTGTATAGCAGTAATAAGGTAGCCAACACCTGTTGTCTGGTTACTGATGTTCCTTGGGGCATGCCTGGTAGTAACTTCCTTACTGGAGGCGATAGCAGTGACAAGGACACAAACAGAACAGTGAGAGCAAAGCTCGCCTGCTCTCTAAATTACTCCAAGTGGGCGGGACCCACAGGGCAGACAAGAAGGAAGCGGGGCGCTCTGACTTTGCACTTCTGTACTAAGACATTGTCTTCCGTTCTTTCTCTCAGCTTGTGTCGTACCCTCCAGCCTGTGTCCTACCGGTTGTGGTACCTCTGTCATTGCTTAGCAGCCCCGGCCCAGAAGTGCCTGACACTGATGGCTTTGCGGGCCAGAGAGGTTTCTGGTCCCTGCCCCAGAGAGAAGTGAGACAGATGAGGATGGTTATCAGTGGGTAGGAGGGAGTGGCTTGCAGGGTTCCCTCTTCTGGGCAGGCACTTCCGGGCCTTTCTGAGTCAGGACCTTCTAAGTGACAGGAGAGCTTACTCTGCCTTTTGTATCAGCTTTCACAATTGCCAGGACTCTCGGCACATCATCCAGGCTTGGGGTGTTGAGAGTTTGAGATGACCCAGGGGATATGGAAGAAGACACCAAAGGGGGGAAAGAATGCCTCTTTTAGTTTGTGCTGCAGGGAGGGCAGGGGGCATTTCTGGACATAAGTGTACAGAAGTGTCAGAAGGCGCTGTGCAATTACAGCAGCATATTTCACTCCTGCCTCTCTCGTTTAATGAAATTGGCAACAAGAAACCCACCGTTCCAGGTGTGACTGCCTCTGTTTCCCAGCTTCGTTCTCACTTCACTTTGAAGAGCTTCCAAAAGAGAAAAAAATATATTTTGTATAGGCAGGGAAAGGAGGCTTGGCAGTGTTCTCCGGTTTTTAGATCATGCCCGCACTTCCGACTTTGGGGGCCAATGAAGTCAGATCTTATTGCTTTTCTGTTTCCCCCTCAGCAGTGGGAATGCTTCCTGTCAGTTTCTGAAGCTGGCTTTCCAGTTTGTGAGGAACCCGGGCTCGGCAGCGACTCTGTGCAGCTTGGGTCATTCCCACCATTTCTGGGGCCCAGAGAGCTGTGGTGTCGCTGTGCTGCCTTGGTTGGCCACCACTTGAATGCATCTCAGAGGACAGCATGAAGTATAGGCTGGAGATTGGGGTGACATGAGTGTAAGGTGAGAAGAAAATGTGGTGACAGCCATCTGGCGCAGGGGACCCACTTTCCCTGTGGGTACCATGAAGTGGTTCCGTTGTGGAAAGCCAGACCCCATCACTGGCCCCCCCACAGGTTAGTCAGTGAACCTGTAGGCAGAGTCCAAGTTCCCACTAAGACTGACTAATCTCCTTTGCCCCTTGTTAAGGGCTCAGGTTGGGGGCTGGAAGGCTTAGAGATAAATAGAACCAGGAACTTGATTCATTCATTAGTGGGCTGGTAAATGCCACTTCCTACGGTAGCAGCAGGCATAACATGTCACAGGGTATAGCCATCACAGGGCCTGTGGGTTTGACATTTCTCTAATGACACAGGACAGGCAGAAAGAGTACTTCTGTGGACTTCTTCATGTACTTTCTCACTTTCGTCTTGGACATTGAGACACCCCCCTCGGCCAACACACACACCCCTCGGCACAGCCTGAAGTTATCATTGCCCAACCTGTGTCTGCTTCTAACCAGCCCTTGCAGACTG